ACAACCAAAGCAAATTAACTGATGTTGCAGAGCCTGGAGTTAAAACCCAAATATGACTCCCAGAGCGTGGCCTTCAGGTTTTTGGTCAGATTACAGAAATATATATCAGATTCCATTAAAATGAAATCCAAATTGGATCTGCTTGGCGAATAATACACATTCACTGAGGGCAGTAATTTGTAGCTGGCAGATGAAATCCCTGGTTTTGTGAGAAAATCCTCATTAATTCAAGGAAGTCTCTCTCATGGTGATTTGATTTCAGCCTGTGGAAAACAGCTACCCAAAACTGGTTGTTTTAAAGCATTCCCAGAAAAAAAAATAATCAATAGCGATAAATTTCCTGAAACAATGTAAAGAATTTTCATTGGAAAATGTGGAAAAGGAAGGAAAGGAGGAAGGAAAAGGAACACTACCTTAGGCAGTGGTTTCTCCTTAGCACAGTTTATTCCTCCAATGAAGACCATGTTGGGCATCACAGGCCTGACATACTCGAACACAAAGTCAAACCTCAGCAGCCAGATGGAAGCAGAGTGCACCAGGTCCATGAGGGACACGTCCCTCTGCAGGACTTCTGAGGACAACTTCAGCGCTTCGTTGTAGAAACCATCACAGTACTTGAGCTCCAGGAGGGAGATCAGGGCGTTTTCCACCCTCTGGAAGAAAGTCATGCGGTCCGAGTTGAAGGTGAACAGCCTCGGGACGTAGGACAGGGGGCTTGGGCACTGTGGGGCTTCAAAGTGGAGGTTGCAGCCGAAGCCCCTCATGAAGAACACGAAGGGGAGTGAGAGGTAGTGGGCGAGTGTCGGCCCACACATGAAGAAGGGATCCGTCAGGATGGCGTCGAACCCGCTCTGGTTCAGCGCCTTCAGGGTCTCCTGGCTGCGGAACAGGTCCTTGCACTGGCCAAAGAAGATGTCGAAGACGTGCACCGATTTCTTGTACATGTCCAGGACATTCAGGGGGAAGGGCAGGCCCTTCAGGTGAATGGCCACGTAGTCGCTGAAGGCACCGTCCAGCTCCTCCAGGGTCTGTGTCACGGGGTACGTGAGCACCTCGTAGGCCTGAGAGGTCTTCATGTGCCAGCTCACCTCTGGCATCAGCACCACCACCTCATGGCCCCGCTGGCTGAGCTTCTCCACCACCTCCTGCATGCTCAGCCAGTGGCTCCCCACCATGGGCACCACCAGCAGCTTCCCTCCGGCTGCGGGGCCGGGCAGGAGGAGGAGGAGGAGGAAAATCCAGGCACAGCAGAGCCTCTGAGCCATGTTCCCGTGGCCGTGGGAGAGGCTTCTCCTGCAGGCTGTGGCTGGAAGATGTTTTTGAAGGAAAATGATGGGTGTTGCACTGTACTTTGAGATAATCCTGTAGTTAATAATTCACCGCTTTGGATTGTGGGTGGTTTTTTTCTTTTTGTTTTCTCTTGGAAGTCAAACCA